TTCGATCAACCTTTATATGTGTTCGGGGACGCCTCGGGGGGGGCCGACAGTCGCGATCCGCGACTTCGGCGCGTCGCTCTGGCCGTTGTAGCGCCCTCCCCCTCGTGCGTTCGGGCCTCCATCGTGGGGCCTCTCGTGGGCAAGTCGCAGACGGTCCCGAGGGGTGAGTTGAGAGCCCTAGAAGTTGCCATTCGTTTCAGTCTTGGGGTCGTTTGCTTCGTTCAGGACAACGGGGAAGTGGTTCGAGGTTGGTACGAACAGAGATGTCTTAAACCTTTTGGGGCGTTGGCTGGAATCTGGAGGGCAATTGGTGCTCACTTGGAAACTAGATGCAGTAGCGACATCATTGTGCTGTATGTTCCGTCTCACCTGTCTCCTCTTGCCATTATCCAGCGTCAAATTCCTGGGTGGTGTATGAGAATCATGTTGTTGATGAGTTGGCGGGGATGGCAGCGAAGAAGGCTAGAGTGAGCGAGATGTGCAGGTACAACGTTATGTTGGCAGAAGCTAAAGCTAGTAAAGTGCGTAAACGTATCTTGAGGTCGACCTTGGAGTCTCTTGCCGCTGAGAGGCAAAACAAAGCGACGGAACGACAGGCCGCTCTTGCTGCTGGTGCTGCTCCTGCTCCTCCTCCTCCTCCTCGCCCGCCCCCTCCTCCCCCAGCACCGTCAGTGGTGGCGGCATTTTCCTCCCAGCATCTCGTCAATGATGCTAACCAGTGCGAGCGGTGCCACAATGGCACCTCCCAGGCCGCTCGGAGCGCTTGGCTTGCCTCTCCTTGTTGCCCACTCATTCCTGTAAACGGGGACGTGCTCCAGCCGCGTGTGGGGGATAGAGTGCACCTCGGGGGTGGGTGGATTCACGAGTCGCATGCCATGTTGTATAATCACAGGTTTCAGTGTTGGATTTGTCGATCCTGTGAGTTTTTCCGTTCTCTCCAGATTCGGTCTCTGTTGAAACCATATGACCCCAGCAACTTGACTAAGAATCGTCGGGAATACCTCGACAGATTTCATCGAGGTCTCAGGCCGAAGTAGCCTCGATCCAGTCAAGTGGTTAATATTGCTTCGCAATCGTTCCGAATCCGACTCCTCCTCCTCCTCCTCCTCCTCCTCCTCCTCCTCCTCCTCCTCCTCCTCCTCCCCTCCTCCTCCTCCTCCTCCCCCTCCTCCTCCTCCTCCCCCCCCCCTCCTCCCCCTCCCCCCCCTCCCCCTCCCCCCCCTCCTCCTCCTCCTCCTCCTCCTCCTCCTCCTCCTCCTCCTCCTCCTCCTCCTCCTCCTCGAGGGCCCATCCTGAACGCCAGTTCGACTGCACTCACCAGACTTCTCCCCCTGGGGGCGTACCCTGGCCACAGCACCGAGGCAAGCCTGGCCGCGGCGGCGCGGGCCTCCCGGGGAGGCCCGCAAAGGGCGAAGACGCGGGAGGGTGGACTGGAAGTGTCCACGCGTGTCTCGCCAAGATTCCCGCCTGAGGCCCCGCGCGCCTGTGCTCTCTGTCTCCCCAATTAGTGCTTTGCGCGGCCCGCCCAGCTCTTCACCGGAAGAGGCTCGCTCTCGACCCGCAGACCAAAAAAGTGTCTCGCCAAGCCCTTGCGTTGTCAAAAGACGTCGGGCCAAGATGCATACCCTCCTCCCCCCAAGCTCAGAGTGGCCGGGCTCGGGCGGCAGGCCAGGGGCCGGGGACAGAACGTGGGCACCTCACCTTCGGGTTTGGTGGGGGGGGCACACTTTCTGTCCGGGCCCCGGAGGGAGGGGCATCGGCATCGGTGCGACGTGTCTGGGACGCCGAAGAACATGCCAGTACTGTGCGCCCCCCCTTGGAGGAGGCGCCCGGCGCCCGTCCGAGCCGAACCACAAAGCACAAACCCGTTGCAGTATAATATCGCTACGCAGGCGGCATGGCCCGAGTGTGCCCGCCACCAAGACTGTACCAAAAGACTTCGGAGCGCGCGCGCGCGCGTCGCCCCTGGGGAACCGACGCACACGTAATATAGACATGGTTGGGTGACGCCGACTGTCTGCCCGCACGTCAACATCCGCTCAAAATCGGCCACCGCACCCCTCCACAGGGGCCCGTCCTGGCAAGTCTTTCGAGCCGCATCCAGCCGTGGCGGCGAGGGCCTCCCAAAACGCGCAGAAGCTTCTGGAACCAGGACTCGGAAGCCAGCGAGGGGGGGGAAACGAGAAGAGGCGGGCCTTCTCAGAGCGCTCGAAGTCCCCTGGCCCTCTGAAAAGTGTTCTAAGCCTTCCCCGAAGACACAGAAAACTTATCAGAAGGCGCGAGGGCTTCTGGGAAGTCCCGCCGCCTTCTGAGAAGGCCTTCTCCTTCTCTCTTCCCCCCTCGCTCGCGGCCGAAGGGCGTCGCCGTCTTCGTCATCGGCATCGGCTGCTTCCGAGGCACCAAACAGTGCGACTGTATTCCGCCCGCGGGCCCAAGGTCGCTCTTCGCCCTCCATCCCTTCCCGATGCCCCTGGGGACCAAAAACAAGCTCGCTGATGCCGACACCGACGAAAAACTCCAACGCTGAAGAAAACATGAAAACAACCAAAACGAAATACAGGCATGCACTCTGTATACCAACATGTGTGTATATACTTACATGCATACATACATGCGTGCATGCATGCATGCATACATACATACATACATCCATACATAGATAGATCCGCCAGAAATCAAGATCAGTCAGCAAAGAATCGCAAAACCAAATCGAACAGGAATGCGTGTCGGATCGGGCCGCATCGGAACGGAGTCGGAATTGAACCGCATGGGAGGCGCCAGGATGCACGACAGCGCAGTGCGAGCATCGGGCCGCATCGGATCGCCGAACAGCATCGTCGAATCGGGCTGGGCCGTCCGAAATCGATTATCGAATCGGATCGACCGGATCGACATGGACCGTGGAGCCCGCCCACCCAGCTCTCCGGCCGTGAGCCGAATCTTTGGCGGTCGCTCGGGACGATCCGGACATGTGTCGGGCGCCTCAGTCTCCCGTGGCCTCCCGTGGCCTCCCGTGGTCTCCCGTGGTCTCCCGTGTGCTCCCTGGGCCCGCCATCAGGGCAACATCGCTGGTGTTAGCATTTACTACTACTACTACTACTACTACTACTACTACTACTACTACTACTACTACTACTGCTACTACTACTACTACTACTACTACTGCTGCTACTGCTACTACTGCTACTACTACTACTACTACTACTGCTACTACTACTACTACTACTACTACTACTACTACTACTACTACTACTACTACTACTACTACTACTACTACTACTACTACTACTACTACTACTACTACTACTACTACTACTACTACTACTACTACTACTACTACTACTACTACTACGACTACTACTACTACTACCTATATCTCCCCAAATAGGGCTTGCACGTACGGGTTAATACTTCTCTTCTAAAGATTTGGGCTGGTGGGGCGGTCTGGCGGCTATGCGGACGCCGTCGCCGCCCCGTCGCCGCCTCGTCGCCCCCCGTCGTCTGGGCCGGAATGGCGGTCTGGCGGCTATTTTGTCGCCGTCGGCGCCCCGTCGCCGCCTCGTCGCCCCCCGTCGTCGTTACAATATATGTGGTACAAAATGTATATACGCACAGATAGCTATAGATATACACATACCTACCTACCTACCTACATACATACACACATACACACACATATACATACACGCATCTGTACACGTTTTGTATAAATATATACCATACACACCACATCTGCGTATAAATATACATGTACATATACGTACACACATACATATGCATACAAGCTACCTAACATAGTCATATACACAAACATATGCTTATACATGGCATAGACATATACGTGTACATGTACGTATACGTATAAGTACACGTAGACTCAAACATATACAAATGCATATATATATACACATATACATATTCATACATACATACATGTGCATATCTATATAGTTAAGCATATACGTACAACTATGCATGTATATATACGTACAGATATTCACATACCTGAATATGTCAATTACAATAGCAGATACATAAACATGCGCATGTAAAAGTATATCAAGCCATGCATTGTCATGCATAGTCCAGTGTACGCATATACAAATTACATACATGTAGATGTGTATGTATCGACTCATACCTGTATACATATATGTGTATGTGTTGCGATGCGATGAATTGATATTCACCGTTCGTAACGTACAGTTTAAAGTGCACCACAAAGATTGCACCACATAAATGCACAACATTGATCGCCGCCGCAGGGGTTTCGGAAACCAGGCTGCGGGCAGGTGGGTGGGATAATTGCACGGGCAATGGAATTGACAATTTCAAGTTCAGCAGGGTGTATTGCACCACATAGATTGCACAACACAAACGTCACAACATATGTTGCACCACGTATACTGCACCATATAAATTGCACCACATGGGTTGAACAACAGATGTTGCATAAGACATACATATTGCACAACAGATAGCGCACCACATATATCCTCTCCTTTTGCAAAAAAATGGATGGACCTCGCCCCCTGACTTAACTGGTTGCGTTTTCGTAGCAGTTTTTCGCATATGATTCTGCACACTCGTCCATCCGAACTATGAACTCATACCATCCCACGCAGTCCGGTGACCAACAACCCCCCCACTTCACCCCTGTCAGAAATCCCGTGGGACCAAAAAATTGACGAGGTGCACACGCGCGCGCCGTCGCGCGCTCGCCACAGCGAACGCGACGAGCAAAAGAGCGCGCTGCGTCCGGCGGGGGGCCGACCCGCGAAGGGTGGACCGCAGGGCCGCAGCCCCCACAGAATATGTTACACAGCGTATATCGTACCACATAGACTGCACCACATGTGTTGCTCCACCTGGATTGCACAACACGTGCTGCTAGAGACACACACGCTTTGGGGCCCACCTGACTGACATAATACATCAATGCATGACCCTCTCTCGGGCTCACGTGTAGAGCTGAGACGTTGCTTGTCCCGTCTGGCCACCCAGCTGGACGAGTCCCACGGCGCGTCGTCGTCGTCGTCTGGGTCGTAGTGCAGCTCGGGGAAGCCCCGGGCGAGCGCGGTGTCCATGTCCTGCGGGCGACCGAGGAGTAGCGGCGGCCCAGGGTCCACCCTGCCCATCCTCTGAGGAGCAAGAAGGAAGAGGAGGGGGAGATGGGAAGGGGGAGGCCAGGAAGAGGAGGGGGGAGAGGGGGAGGGGAGAGAGGGAGGGGAGAGGGGGGGAGAGGGATTTTTCTTTTCCGCCAGGGTGAGGCCTGCATGCTTATTCGCGCAGGGAAAAGGGCAATGGCGGGGGGGAGGGGGAAGGGAAGGGGGTTCAAGACGCAGGCATCTGGCGTCCCGATTTTTTCGAGACACGGGCCCCTGAGCTCTCGACCACTTCCCCAGGACTGGGTTTTTCATCCCGAGTCGTTTTTGGACGGTCCCAAAGCCCAGTGAGGACCCCGAGGAGCCAAAAATTATATCTACATATATCATATATATATATATATATATATATATATAAGAAAAAAAAAAAAAAGAGAGAGAGACAGAGAGACGCTGTCTCGATTTTTTCGGAGATGTTGCACCTCCGGAGAAATCCTTTGTTCTTCGAGGTTTCCCCGCCGTGGGGCGTTTTCCACCAGCCGTGACTCGCCGCAGCTCTGGGGGTGCCCGGAACGCCCGCCGACCGCGGCTCCGAGCCTTGACCCGAAATATCCAACAGGCGTCGAGGAGGGAGGAGGAGGAGGAGGAGGAGGATAACGAGGAGGAGGAGGATAACGAGGAGGAGGAGGAGGAGGAGGAGGAGGAGGAAGAGGAGGAGGAGGAGGGAGGTAGAAGGAGGAGATGAGGAGGAGGAGGAGGAGGAGGAGGAGAGGAGAGCGGGAGAGTGGGAGGAGGAGGAGGAGGAGGAGGAGGAGGGAGAAGGAGAAGGGGAGGAGGAGGAGAAACTGATGACATTAGGAGGATTGAGTATTGGTTCAAGCTGCCGAACTTCTTCTGAGGCTTCTGGAAGGTCAGCGGAGTCGGGAGGAGGCGTAGGAAGGACGTTGGGCACGGCGGGCGTAGTAGGCGTAGTGATGAGTAGGAGGATGCGGCGTTCGGGGGATGTGGAGATGAGGGGGCGTGGGAGGGGGAGGAGGAGGACGAGGAGGAGAAGGAGGAGGACTCGAGTTTTACGTTTCCCCGAAACCAGCCCCCACTGGACAATCAAAACAGCTCAAACAATACTCAAATAAGACTCAAACAAGAAAACAAAAGTTGCAGAAAAATCGGCCCCTGACTATCTTTTGACTCTTCCTGAATACTTCTCCTGTGGAGGGACAGGCCCGACTTACAGGTAGTCCCGGCTGCTCTCAACCATCGGGGAGACGTAATACTCGGGTACGGGGGACTCGGGTTGGCCTGACGGGGCCATCATGAAAATGACGAGACCAATCTGAAATCTGACGCGAACTCCCGCCGCAGACGTCCCACGAAAACCGGGCCGTCCAAATATCCAGGACGCGCTCGTCAAAAAACGCCGGCAGACCCGAGTTCCAGCTTACTCCCCGACTGGATCCATAGGATCTGCACGCGCTCGGCCGCCATGGCGCGCCCCAACCCCCGAGACCGCTGAACTTTTCACCTCACCGCCTCTGATGCGCCGCTGTGCCAAGCGCGGCCCATAGGGGGCCCCGACCCCCGACCCCTCCCCGTAGGGGGCACTGTTTTTGGGGGGCGACGCGCAGAGGGGGGTGGGGGGAGGTGGGAAGGCTTTGTAGAGGGAAGCTGCTTACTAGAAGGCGCGGGCCGTACATATGTAGATAAGGCCCGCGCCTGCTAAGAAGCCCCCCCTGGACAATCCGGTCCCCCCTGGACCATCTGGTGGCCTTCCCAGCTCCACGGCGCGCTCCCGGGGGGGAGCCCGCCGGGGGCAGGCGGCCCGCCGGGGGCAGACGGACTCAAACGAAGTCTCAGAAGCAGTAGAAACCTCGCCCCCTGACTGTTTCTGTTGACTCCCCTGGGATATACCCCTCCTGTGGAGGGGCAGGCCCGACTTACAGCCAGTCCTGGCTGCTCTCCACCAGCCCCCCCCTGGACCATCTGGTGGCCCTCCCAGCTCCACGGCGGACCGCCCGCCCCCAG